CAGTTCATTTTATTATAATTACTGAAATTATACCAAATTAGAAGTATAAATTCATTTAGGTAAACAAATATTCTCTATTAAAAATTAAGTGCTTCATAAAAGGCTTATGGGCCAGCAGTCATTTATACCTTAACGTGGATTAATTTACTCATTTGCTCTCCTAACATCTGTTAAGACCAGTTGGATTTTGCCTAGGAAAAAAATGGAAATGTCAAGGTTAAAGAATCTCAAAGATTAAAAGCAGTCTGGGTGAACTCCAAAACTAAAAACTAGGACGGAAGTAAATATTTATTTCAGCTTGGACATAAGGGCACTAAGACAGGAAGGAATAAACTCCATGCATTAGGATCCCTTGGGTTCCCTGAGCTTGGGTACAGGGAGGAAATTCTCCTCTCTTTTTCCTTCCTCTCTCGACCCTACTTTGAGGGCACACAAATAAGGTTGGGTTCATTAGTCCCGTGTCTAAGGCGGGTAGAATGTTATTGACTAGGCTGAAACTGTAACCATCATTATAAAAAGAGTTTCAGTGGGAAAAAGTTTGTGTTTGAAAGAACCAATTTAGAAACATTGTTTTAGATTCCAATTCCTTCACAATCTGAGGTCAGCCTTCCCTTCAGTTCTTGTCCATCCATACTGACTAATGTTGAATATGTAAAAGGTTGCTCTGAACAGCTAGGGGAGCATCTCTAGAAATTTCAGTGAGGTATTTTTTATTTTAATGAATATATCGCTTGAGAAACTTTGGACATAGCATCGAATATACTAATTCAAAGAACATTTTACATAAATGTTTATATAAGTAATGACCAAGACTTCCTACCTAGTAAGGAAACAAATTTCCTCATACTTGAGGATGGAGGAAAGGGGGAGAAGATTTTAAGTGAAGGAAATAGTGGGAAAAAGTGCAGAGAAACAGACTACAAATTAGTGCATTCAGCGGGTAGTCATCCTATATAGTCAATGAACACCTACTGTGTGCTGGGCTCAGGAATACATAGTGAATAAAGTCACACTCCTTCTCTTCCATTCAAGTCTAGTTGGGAGGACAGAAACCTTAAAGATGAAATTATCTCCAATGTGTTGAATACTTTACCATACAAGAGGCCTGTGGAATATTCTGTATTTACCATTGACCCAGCCTGGTGGAGGGGTATGAGGGAGTGATCAGGGATGCTTCCCAGAGAAGATAGCATTTGGACTTTGGAGAGTTTACGGGAAACAAAGTAGAGTAGAGATTGCATTATCACTTGAACATTTCCGTTCTTACAAATGTCTATAGCCTCATTTATGAAAAACTGCTCCTGTAAATTTATAGATAGTGAACAACCCTGTGGACAGTGGAATGTGTATTGGATGGGAGGGTAACACAGGCCCTACTGGTGTGTAAGAATTAAGAAATATTCTCTGGTCTGCACTGGTTTTTTTTTTTTTGTATGAATATTTGTAATAATTGCCCAATTTTTTTCCTCTTTCCTTTCTTTCTTTTCTTTCTTTCTTTTTCTTTCTCTTTTCCCTTTCTTTTCTCTTCTCTTTTCTTCTCTTCTTTCTCTTTTCTTTTCTATTGTTTACTCCCCTTCACTCATTTCTCTCACTGATAGGCTTCCCTAGAGAAACTTGTTTCTCAGGAAAGAAGAAAAATGCAACTCGTAATTGGCAGCCACCTTAGATTGTTGATAAATGACTAGGAAAGCATGAGGTTCTTTTTTCTTTGAAACTGAAAGGAATGCTGTTTTGGTGAGAAGCTGAATGAAAGAGAGAGAAGTATTCTAACAGGAACCAAACTCCTGAGCCCCAGAAAGCAGCTACATTTCGGTTTCATCCTGTTTCTTCACCCAGTGTGGTATAGGTGGGGAGGATACTCATAAAACCATGAGGATCTACTCCTCTCTCTTTCTGTGTCTCATCATAGCCTATTCCCAGGCACAGGCTTACATGAATTCTGTAGCACCATTTTTTTCTGGGAGGTGGAAAGAAGATGGGATTTGGATTCAAAATACTTGTCATAGAATCTTTCTTTGCCACTTACAAATCTGTGTGACTCTGGGTAAGTCACCTCATTTCTCTGAACATGACCCTCATTTTTCTCATCTTTCAGAAATGAGATCAATGATCTTATTACACATGATTTTTGTAGGAATTAAATGAGATAATGTGAAAACACTGGGCATCTCTTTCAAATAGTGAGTGTTTAATAAATGTGTTTTATTAGAATCTTCACTCTTGTTAAGCTCCATCTTTCGCCATTAAAAGGCTGAAAATACCAAGCCCTTATTCTTTCAAAGTATGAGTGCAAAGTAACTGTAAGCAGCTGAATCAATTTTCCATGAGTCAGGTGGGAACTTTTAGTCTGCTGCAAACACAAGGTTGGCTCACGGTGGCCACACATTAATCCACTGCTTGCTTTTGTAGGAGTTATCTTATATTCCCTGACAGCTTCTCTGGCTTTTAAAAACAACATAAGAAAAAACATTTTTTCTTTCTTTTTTTAATTCTGAGAATTCAAGACTTTTGATTAGAATATTAATACCTTCTTAAGATTTTAGGCAAGCTAAAACCAATCTAATTAAACGTTCATTACAAGCTCCTTTTTTAATGAGTTTGCAATCTAAAGGAAAAAAAAATACCCTATGGTTTCCTATGATCATAGAGAACTAAAAGACCACGCAATTGTATTTTAGAATAATCATTTATCAAAGTATCTTTCTCAGATATTAAAAAGAGTGAGCTAGTGTTTGTCATTTGCTTGTAATGCTGGGCAGCTAAATAAACCATCTTATTCAAAAGTCATTCTCTTTATTGCTCCCATTTTATAATTCAAATTTTAGAAAGCAACCACTTCTGCTCCTGCATA